AGTTTAGTAAAATGGAAGATCCCACCTCTGGTCTTGGGGCTGTCCCCACCCACATATCTGTGAGCCACTGAGTCCTTCCTAGGCAGCCTGCGGTTTGTGAGTCTACGTAGTGAATGAAGGAGGAGGTGACAGGACGGCACCGAGCAGCAGGAGTGAATGAACCAACGGATGAGCAAGTGTATCCCTGCTGCCAAACTGGGAAACGTCTTCCAGACATTGTTCCCTTGGAGGGATGTTTGTCCCCAGCAGAGAAACTGAGGCTCTGAGCAAAGCATGCCTTCAATCTCTGGAGCGCAGAGGGATCCAGGTCCCCTCCACCCCCGCCCAGGGAAGACCATCGCAGCAGGACAGGGATGCATCACAGGGGTGGCGTAGGAGCGGGAGAGCAGAAGGGGAAGATAGGATGGAAGGCTCTGGGACCCAGCTGGGGAGGACACTGAGGGAATCAAAACAGACAACAGGTCGCTTAAGAAGGGCCTCAAGGAAGGAGCAGATTTGCCATCCCTCAGCCCAAGCGCGTGGGGCATCTAGTGCCAGTCTTCTACCAAATCATAGGGTCATCATGGAGGGACCCCCGTCCCCGACCCAAGGCAGGTTCCCTGAACTCCCAGGCCGTCCCCACCTCCTCCCTCTCCCCGCCGCCGCCGCTCCCCGGGAGGAAGTGGCGAGAATGCGGGGGAGGGCTCCTAGTCTCACTTCCCCTGGGGCAGGGCGGGGCCTGCGGGGTCCTCTCCCCGGCTGCGAGACAGTCCACCGCACGGGGTGGGGGCAGGGATCCGCCAGAGCTGGGGCCCGGGCTTTCTGCCCCTCTCTAGGTGACGTCCTTAAGTTCCCTGAACTTTGTTGGTTCTAATCTGAAAAATGGGAAGAAACTGACCTTGAAACAGCAAGTGGCTGAGGGGAGGACCCACCCCGGGCCCGAGAGATCCAGCCAGACGCGGTCACGCCCAGCCTCGGAGGGGTCAGGGCCCGGCGGGAGGGAGCGAAGTCACAGTAAACACGGGCTTGACCTGGGACTGGAGCCGCATTCCAGGCGAAGGGAACAGCCCGGGCTAAGGGCCTGTCTACCAGGTCCGCCCAGGACACTCCGACGTCGGGGCCCAGCCCGGACCCTCTCCGGGCAGGGAGCGGGTGGAGGGAGAAAGGACCCTGGGGGTCTCGTGTGGCAGCGGAAGAGTTAACCACTCTGGGCTGCCGGACCCCGCGGGGAGGGGGGCTGGTGGCGTCAGCGCGACGTCAGGGCTCGGCGAAGACGCGGACGTTTGGGCCTCGGGGCCGCAACCCACGCGGCGCCGGAGACCGACAGCGAGAGTCGGGGGAGTGTGTCCTCCAGCGCTGTCGTGCGCGCCACGCAGAGGGGAGCCCGAGGCACCAGGAGGGGCCCAGCTTGACTGGTACTCAAGCCCGGGCTGCAGGCCACCTGGTCCCCTCCGCCGCCTCATGTTCCCCCAGCTCCGGGGACTGGAGGAACGTGGGGGCGGGTACGTGGGTTTGGGGTTTGCTTTCCAGTGCGCAGACATATCCCTGCAAAACCGCCCAAATAAACGTTTGCCCCCAGCTGCGTCCTGGCCAGTGGCCAGGCTGCGTGAGCCTCAGTTTCCCCAGAACAGCTGGGGGGACAAGTGACGCCAGCCGCCGGCGCTCCGCTGGGCCGCCGAGAGGGGATGGCAGAGAACCGAGTGGCAGAGGCTTAAGTGGGGGAAGCAGCCAGGCGAGACTCGAATCCAGGGTGGGTTCCAGGCTCCCGGCCTCGCCTCCCCCCATCCCCTCCAGCGGCCTCCGCCCCGCCTCGCCCCTCCCCTCCCCCTCCCTCCCTTCCTCCCACCCTCCCTGCCTGGGCGGCTAATTAAATGCAGGGCTGGGGGGAGGGGACTGCGCGCAGTTAACCCCTTCCCGGGTTAACCCCTTTCCCGCCGGCGCCCTGGAGGGGACTCTGAGCAGGGGAGGGGACTGGCTTTGGGCCGCTGGAATTTCCCCTTCCCCCGCAGGGCGCCCTTCTGGCCCTCGGCCAAGACCTGGGAAAAATGGGCAGATGGGTGGAGGCCAAGGCCCCACCGAGCTCTGCAGGGCTGGGCTAGACCTCCTGATGGGAACCCCAGAGCACAGTGACAGCCGGATAGGACAGCTAGTTAGTGACCCGGGGAGATAAAGAGATAGGAAATGAAGGAGATGGAGGAGAGAGGGGGACTAGGAGGGAGGAAAATTATAGGAGCCAGAGAAAGAGAGGCCCGGAGTGCCGGGAGAAAGCAGGTGAGAGGGGACAAGGGCCGGAGAAGGCAGGGCCAGCGGGGGACAGGACTGGGAGGACTGGGGCTCAGGGGTGACCCAGCCTCTGCTTAGCATGTATGAGGCCCGAATTCAATCCCCAGACCAAGACACAAACAAAATGAGACATGATCGTTTTTTAACCAGATCCATGTTTTGCGAAGGGACCACAGCCCTTGGCCGAGGACATGACACCACCCCTTAGCAAAAAGAGGTGACCATATAAATATTTCTCTATGGCCAAGGTAAAGGGACTTAGCCAGGGCAGCACGCCAGGGCTGGGGGGACTCGGTGACGGTGACTCCAGATGATCAGTGGGAGGTGGAGGCCCCAGTGTGGCCTGGAGGCATCGGGCAGGTGCCCTGGAGGAGGAGGCCATGGAGGTGACTCCAGCCCTGGGGCTTGGCTGCCTGGCCTGATTTGATCCGATTGCTGGTGTCTGATGGGGTCTTGTGGCCCCAATGGAGGGTCAACCCTGCCCAGGGAGCTATCGGTCTCCCCAAGTCCTTGCCCTGTTCCTCCAGCTCTGGGTCATGTTGGAGGGGCCAGACACGGGCACATCACCACCTGGTTGCCCAATCCCGAGAGGGAGGGGAAAAGTTTGGGGAGGGGATTCAGAGAGTCTTTGACGTCAGCAGAGAGGGTACCTGGAAGATACCAGAGGGAAGGGGCTGTGGAGCTGGAAGAGCTTGTGCAAAGGCCCTGGAGTAGGGATTTGGGGAGTGTTGGAGGATTATCAAGGAGGGGTCCTGAGTCAGTCGGGTGAGCGATGAGAGGAGGTGGGGTCACAGGGGTACCCCAATCCTCTACAGCCGGTAGAGAGTAGTTCAAGTCCTTGCCATCCCAGGTGGAGCCCGTGGCGTCTCTCCCTGCCTCGGTTTCCCCATGAGCATCCATGCCCCAGAGGAGACGGGGGGCTCAGGTTTGGGGATAGCTGCGTTACCACCCCCCACCTCTCCATACCTACTGTAGCTCCTTACTGAGGCCCCTCTCCCCTTCGCCCCCCAACTGTAGCCACTTCTTCATATCTAGTAAGCAGATCTTGTCCTCATCTGGGGACCCCACCCTGTCCAATCCCAGGAGATGGAGGGGCTGCGAAGGGGGTGGGAGGGCAGCATGTGGTCCCCAGGCTGCCGGGAACCCGGGCCCAGAGCTCTAGGCCCGGAGCTCGCTCCCCCTGCCCCTGCCAGGAGGCGGCTGTGGTGGTGGCTGCAGTGAGGGGGTGTGCCCAGGAGCACCCTGCAGGCCGAGTTGCCATGGTGACACTGACTCAGCGGCAGAGGCAGTAGCAGCATCTGGTACCCGCCGGCCGCCCCTGCCTGGCCTGTGTGCAGCACCTGCTCTGCCCACCCCGCAGCCTCCACCCAGATCTTATGAGGCTACAGCGGAGAGCTGGGCCCCCGAGGCTGGCTTTGCTGTCCCTCCACCCACCACCGCACAGGCCACTGCCCAGGCTCCTGCTGGACGGTGGGAAATGCAGCTTCTCAGGGCCATGACCTCGGCACCGAGTCTTCCTCCACCGTCCATTCATCTACCCACCTGCTCATCCATCCACCCACCCAGCCCATCCGCCCGTCCATTTCTCCATCCACATCCACTCATCTGTCCATCCCTCTGTTTACCCATTCATCCAACATCTATAGAGTGCCTACTGTATGCCCACACTGTTCTGGGTGCAGGGTGGTTGCCTGTGCTAGTGAAGTCAGAGTACCGCAGAGGGGTCTGGGGTGGGCTGCAAGACACAGCTGAAGCCTTCTTGGCCATTGGGGCCCAGATCTCAAGATGCTAAGTCCCCATCTCTTCCTTGGGCTCCCAGTCTCTCTCCCTCTCTCTCCCTGAGTCTCAGTCTCCCTGTTTCCCCACCTCAGAGTACATCTTAGACTCTTTCCCACAGCCTGCAGGCCCCATCTGTCCCTCTCCTCCCCTCTCCCCCCAACTTGACCTACTTCCAGCCACATCAGCTTCTGCCTACCTCAGGGCCTTTGCACGTCCCACTATCTGGAAGATCTTTTGGTTCTTCACCTGGCATTTATGGTATTTCATTCTTGCTTTCCCTATTTTCTGTCTCTACTCCATCCTTTAGAGTATAAAAGCCTAGGAGATGGCCTGTTTCCTTTTTGGCTTGTACCTTTATTTCCCCAAAGAAAAACTGTGCAAATGAGCATTTCATAGTGTATGACTTTAAAGCTGGGGGTGGGGATTAAGCACTTGAACTGCACCTAACCCTCAACATACACTCCCATCCAAACAGCCTGAATGTCCCTCAGCAAAAGAAGGGTAAATACACGTGATCTGGGCTGGGAGGCAGCACAGTGGCACAGCGCTTGCCTTGTGGGTGCGAGGCCCTGGGTTCCATCCCCAGCACCGCAAAAACGAAAGGCAAAACTGTGGCCTGTCCTTGTAACAGAATATAATTCGGCCGCAAGGAGGAATGGGGCCGGGCACCGTGGCGCACGGCTGTCTCAAAACTAAAAACTAAGACAGGGCTGGGGATGTGGCTCCATGGCAAAATGCCCCTGGGTTCAAAGAAGAGGAATGGAGCCCTGGCCCATGCTATAGTGTGGCTGGAACCCAAAAGTGTTGAAAAATTGGAGGCTTGGGGTGTGGCTCCGTGGTAGAGTGCTTGCTTAGTTCCCTCCCCAGCACCAAAAAAAAAGTTAATTTCATGTTGAGACTCTTAACCTCAGTTTTTACAAACAGGAACATTACATTTGAGATTAAAACTAAGGAAATCTTGCCACAGTGGCACACACCTGTAAACCCAGCAACGGGAGAGGCTAAGGCAAGAGGATCGCAAGTTCAAGGCCAGCATCAGCAACTAGCCAGACCCTGTCCTCAGGTAAAAATAACATGACAATGGCTGGGGATGGAGCTGGGGGAAGAGCGCCCTTGGGCTCAGTCCCCAGTACTGGGAGAAGGGAGGTGCATTCCTGCACCTGGGATCCAGCGGCTCCGGAGGCTGAGGCAGGAGGATGGCGAACTCAAGGCCAGCCTCAGCAACTCAGTGAGACCCTCTCTCTAAATAATATAAAAAAGGGCTGGGGGTGTGGCTCAGTGGCTGAGTGCCCCTGGGTTCCATCCCTGGTACCAAAGGGGGAAAAAAAAGCGTGAAATGTGTGGGTTCAGGGACCTGGCTCTGTCACCTGCCCAGGGAGGAGTGAGAAGGGAGGCCATCTTGGGGCACCTGCCACCGGCTTCCTCTGTCACCGCCACTTGCTGCCTTTCCACCACAGCTTGGGGCACCTGCTCCTGGGTCTGCACCTGCCGTGCTCTCCAGCCGGTGGCCTCAGAGGACTGAGACCCTGGGTCCCCGCTGATGGGCTGAAAGGCAGAAGGACCCTAGCCCTGGCCCCCGCTTCCCCTCTTTCTGGTCTCCAGGAAGCTGAAGTGCTTGTGGTTGGCCACTCTTTGAGGCCACAGGGGCTACTGAGTGTGACCAGGAGGTTGATGATGGTGAGGACATTGGAAGTCATGGAGGGGACTGTCCACACACCCTGGGGAAGGAAAGGACCCCGATCTACATGGGGTCTCATGGTCAGTGGGTGGGCAAAGGGGTGGAGATCAGTCCAGCTGGGGACCTGCTTCAGGTCATCTTGTGAATACAAACAGAACATTTTTCTTTTCTTTTTTTTTTTTTTTGTACTGGGGATCAAACCCAGGTCACTTACCCACTGACCGAATCCCCAGCCTTCTTATTATTTTTTTTGAGACAGGGTCTCACCAAGTTGCTTAGGGCTTTAATAAGTGGCTGAGGCTGGCTTTGAACCCTCGATCCTCCTGCTCAGCCTCCTGAGCCCTGGGATCACAGGTGGGCACCACTGCGCCTGGTACTGTTTTTCAGTGCTTAAGGAAGAACTCTTGAGCAGTACAGGTCTCCCTGGACAAGGTCACTGAGGCCAGGCCTTCTCTCCCCAAAAAGACTTCTGGGGTTTCAGAAAGGCTCGGTTGACAGGGCCCTGGAAAGTGTCTGAGTAGCTCCACAGCAACATGGAGAGGAGACAGGGAGGCCAGGGCTCCTTCTGTTTGCTGGGGACATTCCACGGGCCGAGGGGCGTGGCGTGAAAGGTCCTGGCCCATGTGGTTCAGAAGAGAGAATAGGGAGGGGAAGACACTCAGGGACACGGAGATTATTTTTAGGCATTGAACGCAGCCCTGAAATATTTCCACGGCCACTCCCGAGAGCAAGCTAGGGTGACTATTTCGGTGCCTGGTTCCAGTGGAGGCGGGGCAGGGGTGAGTCACTGTGTGGCCAGAGGCTGGGCCAGGCCCCGAGGGTGTTCTCAAGGCAGAATCCTGGGCCTGCAAGGAGAATGCTCACTGGTCCAGGGTCAGGCTTCCAGTCACAAAGGACAGTGACCTGGCTAATGCTTCCATCCAGGGCTGGGCCAGCAGGGAAACCACCTTGGACAAGAAGAGCCTCTCACCAACCCCACAGCATTAGAACCAAGAATGTGTGGACACACTGCAGGTGTTCTCAAGTTGCCAGAGTGTTTCCTGCATTAATTGAACACTTGCTGTATACCAGGCTGGTCCTATGGTGGTTACCAGCATCTGTCCTGTGGGGGAAGCTGTGTGTCCCCTGCTGACCAGGGAGGAAACCATGGCACGTGGGTCACACCTGCCAGGCACCCTGAGCCTCTCTGATGCTGTAACCAGGAGAGTGATTTCTTTAATTTAGTTTTTGTGGCACTGGATGGAGCCCAGGGCCTCCTACGTGCTGGGCAAGCACTCCACTCCCGAGCTCCACCCCCAGCCCAGGGGAATACATTTTAGGCAGGAGCAGATCTCTGACCTCACCTGCCCGTCCCAGCCACTTCTGGACTCCTCATTTTGGGCCTGACACACCTAAGTCAGGAGAGGTCACTGGGTGCTCTGAATTCAAGAGGCAACAGAGGGAGGAGCTCTGGGGCGGCTGCAGAGGGAGCGGAGTGGGCTGTGTGACGCAGGGCAGGTTGCTCACCCTGTCTGTGCCTGGGCTGAATGGCGATGCCTCCCCGGGGTGGGTTCCAGAGCTGCTCAGCCCATACTTGGGGAGAGGTAAACACTGGCTGCTGTGGGCACCCGCTCCTGTCCCTGGAGCCTGTTTCTCTCTGTGAGGACCCTCGGAGGTGCCAGTTGAAGCGGCTTTGTAAACCCACAGGGACCAGCAGGGGCGAGGCGGGGGCTGAGTGGCTCCGCTCCTCATCCTCAGTCCCTGCTCGTGCCCACGCCGGGTGGACGTTTCAGACCACATCTTGCTCCACGCCCACCGGAGGGGCCACAGCAGCCCAGGGCTTCCCATGCTTGGGGCTTGGTATGACTGTGAGGCCCCCTCAGGGGCCTCTCCTCCAATCTGGGGAAGGAGGTCCCTCCCCAGCGTGCTGGACCCCATGGGCCTCTGTCCTGCACCCTGGGTTGAGCCCCTGGTCTTGCCTGCTCTGGTCTCCTGATTTCTTGCCTCCAGCTGTTCTAGAAGGTTCCTATGTCACTCAGGGCCTGCCTCTTCCCCATTTCCTTTCCCTCTTGCTTTGCTCCCATCTTTGGGGAACAGGGCCTTGTCTGGGAAGTCCTTCTCCCAGATGGTTAGCTCCCTGGCCTCCCTCAAGCCTTCCCTAACCTCAGAAACCACCCTGGCCTTCCCTGGTCACCTGTGCAGCCGCCACCCTCCTCCCAGGCCTCAGTTTCCTCTTTCCCCAGCAGTTGGCGTGCCCGCGGCTGGCCCACGGTGGAAGGGGAGGGCTTCAGGGCGGGGGCTCTGCCATGCTGCCACTGCGTGGAGACAGGGCAGATGCCCCAGGTCCCCCTGGCGCCTGCCGTGGTCATCAGGCCGAGTTGGTGCTGGGTTTACCCTCCACCAGCCTCTGACCTCAGGGAGGGATGGCAGGGCACATTCACTGCCATGCCAGGATGCGCTGGGCCCAGGTCCAGCCACAGGGGCAGGGGCAGGGGAGGCGATGCGGGGGCAGGGGCTCTGGGCAGCATGGAAGCCCAGCAGAGCCCTGATGTCTGCTGTGGCCAGGTAAGGGAGTGGCAGGGGACACTTCCTACTGCTGCCCTGGGAGCCAGTCTCTGCACGTGTCCCTGAAACAGGCTGTGCCTCCTAGTGTGCAGGGGGTGGGGGTGGCCCTGCCCAGCTCAGCCTCTGGCTGAGTCACGCTGTGCTGCAGCGAGGGCGTATGCGTGGGCCTCTATGCCAGAAAGCCAGCGCCAGGGAGAAGGTCCTGGGGGCGGGTGAGAACCCCGCACAGGAGGGGCCCCTCTCTGGCCAGGTGACAGGGTGCAGACCCGGGTCCCGTGGACCAGCAGGAAGACGCGGAAGGTCTAGGTCAGGAGCTGGGCTGGTGCTTTTGGTTTCTCTTCTGTGCAGAGGCCGAGGCTCATCCTCTAAAACCAACCAGGAAGAGACAGAAACCTGGGCTGTGCTGACACCAGGCCCGGGAGGGGGCAGCCCTGGGGGCCCGTCTGCACCACCTCAGGAGGGGAGGCAAGGCCGCTGGGGCAGGCCAGGGCACTGTGCTCGCGTCACAGGGGAGAGGGGAACTGGGCTGGGAGCCTGCAGCTGCCTGGCTGGAAAGGTCAGAGCGGCTCCCGTGTCTGGCTACGCAGGCGAGAAGCCGCGATTACGCAGATTACGCAGCCTGGCACCGGGGATTAGCCCCTGAAAGACCCACTAACTGATCCCCAGAGGCCCGTAAAAGGAGCCAGAGGCTCCGAGCGAGCGCTCTGGTTCAGCCTGGTGAGGGAGGCGACCCTGGGCAGAGCCCAGTGGGGAGGGGAAAGGCCTCCAGGGCTTCCTGTGAGCTTGACCCTGAGCTCCTGGACTCCATCAGGGCCTCACCCAAGAGCTGACCCCAGCAGGGAGGGACCTGACCCCAGGGGCCTCTATGGACTGGGAGTGGGGAGCCTCTGCCCTGCCCTAGGCCCCTGGGCCCTCAGCACAGGGGGGGACCATGCCAAGGGCTGCCTGTCTAGCAAGCAGGGGCCCCTGGGCTTGTCCGCTCTAGTCTAAGCCAGGGCCACGACAACCGTCCATGTCCCTGTGGAGGAAGGCGGCTTTGTGAGGCTTGGGGCTGGCCTCCCCCAGACCTGCTGGCCCCATGACTCTACCTCCAACCCTCACAAAGTGCTGCTCTGTCACCACAAAAGGATTCCCACAGCACCAGGTCCCAAGAGGGCCACGGCCAGTGTCCTGGGCACCAGGCTAGAAGAATCCTAAAGGCAGAGACCTGTGAGACACAGGACCCAAAAGGTCCCAGAAGGACTGGACCCAGGGCAGCACCCCTTTGGCTTCAAGGCCCCTCAGAGCAGCTTCAACACGGAGCTGGGCAGAAAGCACCCGCAGGGACAGCTGACCGTGTCTGGGTGTCTGGCCCTGCGGCTCCTGCCTCTGCTTACAGAAGGAAAACTCGGGCAGACGACGCTACTGGAAGCATTTTTCCAAAGTGCTGACTCCATGTCTCAGGTGGACGCCACACACGGGGCAAGTCTTGGGATCGTGTTGAGTTCCTGCCGTGGCCGCGGCGCAGCTTGTCTCTTGGTGAACCCCAGGGTGAAGGTGCTGAGGAGCCGGGCACAGGGGGAATCCAGGCCACAGAGGTGCCATGCCTGGCCGCTGCCGAGGGCACTCCACCTCCACAAGCTGGGGGGACGAGCCCCAGCCGCCTCTCCTAGGACGGGAGAGACAGGAGCCCCTGTCCTGTGGAGAGGCTTCCCCTTGGTGACATGGGCCACAGCCCTGGAAGGGAAGTGCCCTCACGGGGGCTGATTTCCAGAGTCCGGGGACAGTGGACACAACACACTAGGTTACCTGGTGGCTCAAGGCAATGAGGGGTCGCACTGGTACTGAACTTGTCTTTGTTTTTATTTTTATAACACAAAGAGAAAGGAAGCAAAGGGGAACAGGCTCTGTGGCATCCGTCCTTTGTCCCTGCTGTTTGGAAAGGCGACCTGGGGGCTACGTTCAAGACGACTGGGGGCTGCAGACAAAAACTCGCCTTTCTTGGGCTCGAGGGGCTGGAGGCGGGAGGCTGAGCCTCCAGGGCCCTTGCCGCACCTTCCCCTCCGAGGGGGCTTCTCCCAGGACCAAGAACATCAGCGACATTCCCAACCGTACAACGACAACGTTGGTTTAAAAGACAAACAAAAAACCCATGGGGGGACTTCACCTAAAGAGGATCCCGCAATACAACGCGCATTGTCCCCGTGCCTGGCTCTTCCCTCCTCTCCGGGCCCGGGAGCTTGACAGCCACACCGCTGCCCGCGGCTTGGTGGGGAGGCGCTCACTGCTTGCCCGCCTGCCTGCCCGGCTTCTTTTCAGGTTGGCCTCGGCCCGTGCCAGGGATCCCGCCTCGGCCCCGGCCACCAAACACACCTGTGGGACAGAAAGAGGGGCTGTGGCTGGATCCCAGGGCCTTGGCCTCTGGTCATGTCACGGGACCCCTGAGCCTCAGCTGCAGCTATGAAGTGGGGACGGCAATCCTGCCCCCAAGGTCCTCTACCCAGGCAGAGCACCTGCCGCGCAAGCGAGGGTGGGTGCCTGAGAATGTTCTCCTTGTGACAAGGGCTGATATTGCCCCAGGGGTGCCAGGCACTGCTTCAGGCCCCCCACGTGTCCCAGTGCAGCCAGCTATGCAGGGCACACACACTCGAGCAGCCCAGCCAGAGCTCGGAACCCCAGGAAGGCTGTCGCCAACAAGTGCCATTCACTGAGCACCTGAGCCACGTGCAGTGCCACTGTCGGGCCCCTCTGCAGAGCCTGCTGGGCTGGAGGCCCCGAACTGTGGTCTGGAGACAAGAATCCCCACCTCCTCTGGAACCCTCCACCTGTGAAGACGGGGTCATCCCGGCTTTGCTGAGACTCGGGAGTCCAGACTCTCGCCAGTGATGGGCCCGGGGCACTGTGGGGACAGAGGACAACGCCAGCACAAGCTGCTCGACCTCACATCTCAGCAGCAGAACCAACTCTGCTGGGCCGGGACTCCAGGGTCCCTGCTCCCCTCGCCCTCCTGCCCCTTCTCCCAGCTGCTCCTGACTATCTCATGAGCCTTGGCTCAGGGCTGGCTCCAGTGCCCTTTCCAGCTGCGGTCCCCCAGTGAGCTACTTGCACTCCCAGTGAACCCTGCTTTGCCGGGAGCCCCGCCAGGCATACAGGTGTCCTACAGTGGTGGACACAACCCAGGTGCCTCACGAGCACAAGGCTGGGATGGGGTGGGAGGGACAGGGTCCGTGGGGCCTGAGCTGCCTGTGGAACAAACTGAACTTTATGCCAGACTCACAATCTCAGGCAGGGGAAGCGGCGAGGCCAGCATCCACCCAAAAGGGCACGGCTTGGCTTCCTGCAGAGTAGTCAGGGTTCCGTGCCAGGCCTGAGCCAGGGTCCTGCCAGCAGCCAGAGGTGGTCACCACCAGACTCTCCAGAGGGGAAACTGAAGCTCAGGGAGGCGACCTGTCACGCCCAGTGGATCTGCCACGTGGAGATGGCAGGACCCAGACAGCGGACAGGGCTGATTCCTAACGCCCCCAGCTGTGACCTGGGCAGCCACAGGGCTGGACCTCGAGCAGGGGCGCCCCACCACAGCTGTTCCCTGACAGGCGGTGCCAAGGACCACTGCCAGGAGAAGGCCCTGGCAGGTGGCAGGGTCAGTGGCGACACTCGCACCGTCAGCTGCTGCACAGACGAGCCCTGGCGGAGCCCTGGCAGCCACTCTGTCCTGACGCAGCTCCCCGTGATGACACCAGTCAAGAATGTCAACACCGGGCAGGACAGACACCATGTGCTTGTCCCCACACAGTGGGGAGGCCCTGGCACTGAGGGGGGCAGGGAGCCTACCTCGCCCAGCGCCCCCCATGCCGCGGCCTTTCTGCTGCTTCTGCTGCTGCAAGCCACCGCGGCCCCGGCCCTTGGCCACCACCTCCTCCTTGACCATGTCGATGATCTCGTCGGGGATGCGCAGGTACTTGATGGTGCTGCCTCGAATGTAGCACTCGGGCATCCGCCAGAACTTGTCCCCATCCTGTGTGAGGAAGAGGTTGGGGTCACTCACCTCTGCAGGCCCAGTCCTGGTAGGGGTCTCAGACCCGCTGGGGGGGGCGGTCCCATGGGGGCTCAGCTGGCCGGGACGTCATCTGTTCCCACCTCAGGGAGCTCTGGTCCCCCGTGGAAGCTGTGGGAGGGGTCCAGCCTCCAGGAGGGCTCTCTCCCGACTCCCAGCTCCATACTGAGGAGGGACCCGAGGCTGCAGGAAGACAGCCTCTCCAGTCCTGGGCCTGGCTGGTGGGATGGGCTTCCCCCAGGCTGGGACGGCGCCCTCCCTAGTCTAAGCCAAGGCTCTGCCAATCTGAGCTGAAGCTTTTTATCTGCAGCCCAAAGCCCAGAGGGGTGAGGGGTTCCCCGACACCAAATGCTGCCCCAGCCCCACCTTCCACGTGGGACCCTCTCTATAGGCCCCCACTCCTTCATTCACCCAAGACTGATCTCAGCAGGGCTGAGCTGGGCACAGAGACAAAGGGCAGTACCACAGTGACCCTGTACGGTTCGTGAAGAGGGTGGGTGAGGACAGCTTTCGGTGATGCCAGTTTTTTTTTTTTTTTTTTTTTTTAAAGAGAGAGAGAGAGAGAGAGGTGGGGGGAGGGAGAGAGAGAAGGAATTTTTTTTAAAATATTTATTTTTTAGTTTTCGGCGGACACAACATCTTTGTTTGTATGTGGTGCTGAGGATCGAACCCAGGCCGCACACATGCCAGGCGAGCGCGCTACCGCTTGAGCCACATCCCCAGCCCAAGTGATGCCAGTTTTCAGAGAAGCCAACTGAGGATGGGGAGCAAAATGAGGCCTAAACCCTCAACATCAACCCTGAGGACCCAGCAGCGAACTGCCTCCCACAGCAGGACACACCCAGCAAGCACTGGCCTGCCCTTCCCTGTCCCCCTCCCCCTGCCCTGGGGCTGCTTCTATCAGATGAGTTCGGCCCCATTTCCCAGCCCCGCCTGTGGACAGATGCAAACCAGGTGGCCGCCTCCCTCCCTTCACCTCCAGACAGCAGACCACAGCAGCTTCCTGCTGGCGCCTCACCCCGGAACCACAGAAGAGGTCCAGGTCCCCAGCATAGCTGCAGAGGTCTGGGGCCAGCCTTGCTGGCTGCCCGCCCCCCAGCCCTTGCCACTCCTTCCACAGGGAGCACATACCCAGGTTGCTCCCAGGGCTTCCCACGTGCTGTCCCTGCCTTTCCTCTCCAGATAGCCCTAGCCCTCAGCAGTCCCCATCGTCCCAAACCCTGGGTTTCCTGTCACCCACACTCCTTGGTGCTTAGGTCTGTCTGGTCCAGCCAGTGGAGGGACCTGGCAGGGACAGATGGGCTGCAAGGGCACCATGTCTTCCCAGGAGCACAGGAACCTCCCAAGGTCTCTGGACATTCACTCTCCTGGGGGGGTAGCGGGCTCCTCCTGACCCCCATGACCCATGTTCTCCCTTGAACCCATGTTCTCCCTTTCTTACTTTACCCCCAAAGACGTCTTTTCCCTGACAAGAGCTCACATCTTCCCTGAATGTGTATCTGCTTTCCAAAACAAATGAGTAGGTGTTTCTGGGGAAAAGAAAGAAGAGGGGGTAGGAGGCCACGCCCACCCAGACACACAGGCCTTCCGAGGAAGCTCAGGGTGCAGGCTGCCTGCGGTGCTCGGCTCCCTCAGCCTGAGTCCTGTCCTTGTGTGGATGGAGAGTTGGGGACCTGGGCACAGGGCCTGGTTAACAGAAGGGAGCCCACAGCCTCCCACCTCCCCAGGTTTCCAGCTCCGAGGGTCTCCACATTGTGTGCCTGCCACCGAGGTGGGCGGGGCCTGCAGTCTCGCCGACCTCCTGCCCACTGCGGGTGCTGGGGCAGGGCTGCTCAGGGGAAGCCCAGCGGCCCTCTGAGCAGGTTGCGGAGGCCTGACCAACCCCGGGGATTATCCAGCCTGAGCTAAGGGCACAGAACCTGGAGGCGTCAATAGCACACTAGGGGCTCTCGCCCTTTGACACACGGTGATTCCAAGGCCTGAAGGTAGACAAGAGCTGCCAGCTACACACAGAACGACACAGACACACAGTGTGGCCATTCACATGGCACTGTCTGTCACAACCAAGTGGACACATCAAGACCCGCTGAAGAGCATGGCATGAAAACCAGGAGGCACTACTAGCAGCCCACCACAGAACCCCCACCCAGGGCCCCCACCCAGTGCTGACACAAGAAGCCTGTCTACGACAGAGGGGCCACCCTGCGCCTGCCCATCCAGATGAGAGATGGCCCCCTTCTGTTTTTTTTGGTATTAGGGATGGAACCCAGGGGCGCTTAACCACAAAGCCACACCCCCAGCCCTTTTTACATTTTATTTAGAGACTGGGTCTCACTAAGTTGCCTACGGCCTCGCTAAGTCGCTGAGACTGGCTTTGAACTCACGATCCTCCTGCCTCAGCCTCCTGAGTCTCGGGGATGACAGGCATGCGCCACCACACCTGGCAAATGGCCCCCTTCTTACATTCTACTGTCTTCTGTCAAGGTGAGTCCTGGGTAACACTCTTGTTCTCCCCTCCACCACTTCCTCCCCCAAACTATGGGGAGGACAGAGATCAGCACAGGTTGATGGGAAGGAGCAGCTGTCCCCACCCGTCCTTCTTGTCAGTGCCATCTGGGTCATGTCAAGAGTGGTGGAGGCCTGGTTTCCCTGGGGAGCAGTCTCCCAGCCCAAACTCGCCAAGCGCTGCTCCCAGTGAGGCACTTCCTGGTTCAGGGACTGGCCAGAGGCTCGGGGCCATTCGGCCTTGGTGCTGCCCCCCCGCAGTGGCTTGGACATTTCCTGACACGTGGCCCCTCAGAGTCCAGACAGCATCCATAGCTGAAGGCAGCAGAGGTGGACAGGGAGGGTCAGTCCTCCCATGGAGGTAGCTGCCCCTGCCACACAGCCATGCATGTGCCGTAAGTGCCCCCAGGCCTAAGTCCTTCTAGGCCAAGGGTGGCCCCCACAGACATAGTGGCCGACGCAGGTGGGCAGAATGACCTGGGTGGTCAGCACCCGACAGGGCAGCTTTCCTGTGCCACAGGTGTAAGGCCCAGGTGCTTCAGGGACTCGAGGCCTGGCCAGACGCTGTCCCACCACTCCTCCCCGCCCTC